CGAGCTCATTCGACTCTCAAGTTTTTGAATTTAGAGCTGGCCCTTAGGCACTTACGCGTTTGGTCGATGCAACTTTTTGTATGTGCTAGCGATAGTGGCTTTGACGCATTAGGTCGGTACAACCTTTTGTATGGGCTGTCGACAGAGTTTCTTACATGTTGGGTCGATGCGACCTCTAATATAGGCTTTATTTTTCCCTCGTTAAGGATTTTTGAAATAATGTTTTCCTGACTCTTCGACGGCTTAATAAAAAACCTCAATTGTGAGTCGTTATTTGGCGATGATCGAGCACCTCAGAAGGTTTGGCTCGGAGGCTGAGTATCTCGAAGCCAGTGTTTAGGAGATGATGTGGTCGAAGCTCTTTTTGCATATGTCGAGGGTAGCCTGTTTAATTGGTTCTTTTCAAAGTATATTTGGAGTCATTTAAGGCCTGTGATTTTATAGCGATAGTTGGGTGTCCCCGAATTGCGTTAGTTTGGCTGGTACAACCTTGAGACCAGAGTCACTTGTGTTTGGCCGAAGCCTTTAAGTCCCGAGTGCAGTAGTTTTAGAGTCTATATCGAGGGTATGCCTTTTTAGGGGACTTACAAGTTCGATATATAGCTGAAACTTTAAGATCGGGTTTATGCCTTTAGTAAGGTCTTACAAGTTTTACATGCCTTTGAGGTCTTACAGTTTTGGATACTTGGTACAAGTATGGTTCATGCCTTGCTTGAGGTCTTATAGTTATTGCTATTGCCTTATATAGGTCTCACGAGACCGAGGCTGCCTGCATGTGGCCTTACAGACTCGGGTTTTGATAAGTCGATGGAGGTGGCACTTGACGGCAGTCCCCGAGTTGTCGAGGGTTCCTTGACTCGGGGGCCATTACTTGTAAACTTGGTATTGCCTCATTGAGGGCTTACAATTTCGAAATTTCCGACTCGGAGGTCATGTGGTATTGAGTTTTTGACGCCAGTCCCTGAGTGTTTGGGTGGTCTTTTGGCTTTGGAGCCGTTTTGTGATCTTGTTGTTGCCTCATTGAGGGCTTATGAGATCGAAGCTCCGACCCGGGGGTCGTATTGTTGTGAGTTGTTGACGCTAGTCCCCGAGTGATCACGACGTTTTTTGGCTCTGGGGCCCTTTTTTGCAAACAATGTCGAGCTTTCTTGACATGCAAAATGCTTTTGTGAAGGAGTCTTTGATTACTTGGTGTAAGTATACATGTCTTTTCTATTTAGGGGCTCAGTTGTTCTTATACAGGCACGGTTCGTTCGACCGTTTGGCCCGGTACATTATATTCCTATCGAGACCCCACTTGATGTCTTTGCTTCTCCGATTTGGTGACTTCCCAGGGGGATGCCCCCCAGTATTCAATGTTGATTGCAAAATAATCCTTGAATACTTGTTGAGTCTTCCTTAGGTAGCATATGGATGTTGCCTCGTTAAAAATCTTATCGGTAAAACCCTTTTTGGGATGAAAACCCGGTCAAAGGAAAAGAGTGTAACGTATGCTTTTGAAACCTAAGGTCTTCGAGTTGGAAAATGCTTTGTCCGTTTCAATTGGATACCTACATTTAGGTTAGTGTATAATGTAATTGAAAGAGAAAGGAGACGGTCATACCTTAATGTAGAATGTGCTGGCGATATTTCGAGCCTCGATATGTTTCAGTCGCTTGTGATGAGGATGCGGTACGGTCCCCGGCTTTGTTTAGTCGATGATAGCCGAGAGCGTGGCTTGTTATCGCTATTTTACTATTTGCTTATCCTTCGGTTTCTTCGAAGGTGGAGGTACCAGTGTCGGGGCCACGTCGTGCACCGCGAACATTTCTCTCGCCGTATGTTGTTCTCCGTAGACGGTCTTAATCCCATCCTTCGTGGGGAATTTCATCATTGATGGAGGGTGGATGGTACTGTTCTCATGCAGTGTATCCACGACCTTTCGAGCAAGGCATTATACCTCATGTCTCCTTCGATGATATAGAATTTGGCATTTTGGGTTGTGCCAGCCACGTTGACTGGGAGGGTGATTTCCCCTTGTGTAGTTTCGCTCGCCATGTTAAATACGTTGAGGACTCGGGAGGCGGGTACAATTTGGTCAAGCAGGCCAAGCTACTCTACCATTCTCGACCTCCTAATGTTGGCCGAGCTACCTGGATCCACAAGTACACATTTAATTTGAAATGTATTTTCAATAAAAGATATTACCAGTGCGTCATTATAAGGCTGAGACAAGGTCTCGATGTCCTTGTCACTGAATGTGAGGGCATCCTCGGGTATGTAATCCCGAGTTCGCTTTTCTCTGGTGATGGATATTTTTGTTCTTCTCATCATGGGCTCCTGTGGGGCATCGATGCCTCCCAAGATCATGTGGATGACGTGCTGTGGTTCATTTATCTTGTTCTTCTTGGCCGTCACTCTCTCTAGGAACTTATTTTTGTCCCGGTCGCTGAGGAACTCTTAGAGGTGACCTTTACTGAGTAGTCTGGCTACTTCCTCTCAAAGCTGGTGGCAATCCTTGGTCTTGTGACCGTGTGTGTTGTGGAACACACACACTAAGTTATGATTTCTTTGCAAAGGATCTGATTGCACAAGCCTAGGTCACCTGGCATTTTTGATTTTACTAATGGCGAATATTATGTCTGATACATCGACATTTAAGTTGTATTCCGACAAGCGAGGTGCCTCCATCGGCCCCGTATCGAACTCAGCTCTGTTGAAGAGTACCCGAGGGTTCTGGCCTCGGTCCATTCTTCGATCAGTGCGGGGTATGTTATGCCTCGGGGCGTTTCTCCTGTATTCGGTGTATGACTGGTACCTTTCTTTGTTTGGCTTTGTCTCATTTGCCAGAAGCCTGCTTGGGTATACTGATCCCTAGGGGGCTCCTAGTTGGTCGTCCTCGACCTTGATCTTTGACTAGTATCGGTTATAGACGTTCGATCAGGTCACAACGGGATACTCGACTACGTTCTATTTTGGCTGCCTTGATGCCACCGAGCTTTATTCATTTAGACCTTAAGTGAAGGCCTGCATCGCCCAGTCATTAGAGACTGGTGGCAGTTCCATTCGTTCCATTTGAAATCGAGATACGAACTCTCGCAGCATCTCGTTCTCCCTCTGCTTTATCTTGTAGACATCAGATTTCCTTGTTGCTACTTAGATGGCTCCGGCATGTGCCTTTATGAAAGAATCTGCCAGCATGGCAAAGGAGTCTATGGAGTTAGGAGCTAGGAATCTGCCAGCATGGCAAAGGAGTCTATGGAGTTAGGAGCTAGGTTGTGATACCACATCATGGCCCCTTTCGAGAGTGTTTCCCTAAACTTCTTTAGCAAGACGGACTCGATATCGTCGTCCTTTAGGTCATTGCCCTTTACTGCACAAGTGTAGGCAGTGACGTGCTCGTTGGGGTTCGAGGTTTCGTTGTATTTCGGAAGGTCTGGCATTCTGAACTTCTTTGGAATGGCTTTTGAAGCTGCTTCATCTGGGAACGACCTTTATATGAACTTCTTCGAATCCACACCTTTGAGGATCGAGGGTGCGCCCGGAATTTGGTCGACCCTAGAGTTATAGGTTTCGATCTTCTTATCATTGGCTTCTATCATTTTTTTGCCTGACTCTATCATCCTTGTGAGATCCTCGAGCATCTTTATGATGGCGGGGTTGGCTGCCGACCCATTGTTACTTGATATCTCTAGTACCTGCTCGGCTGGGGAAATCATCCCCGATGCTACTGTGCTAGGAGTTTTCTGGTGATTTTGCAGCTGAGCAATAGCCAGCTGTTGTGCCTGCAACATTTCAAAAATAACATGAAGGCTAACCTCTCGTTCTTCCCTAGTGGGGGTTTTCTGAGCTTCTTGTTGATCTTCTTGGTGCACGCTCCTGTTAGTGTGTGAGCTTGTGTCGACGTGTTGGTCGTCGCGTGAGATCGCGTCCACGGGGATTGGTTCTGGTGCATTCCCAAGGTTTCGTGGTGGCACACCAACACCTGGAACACCCACACCGTTTTCTTCATGGTCCTCAAGATTGTTGTTTTCACCTCCATTCACTGAGTTAGACATTTCGACCTGAAATCGAAGATCTTGGACAATAAAAAGCGTGAAAGATAACTTGTGTTATATAGTAAAACCAACAGGAAAATAATCACTATTATTCTTAGCCCCACGGTGGGCGTCAAACTATTTACCGTGAAAATGGTAATGACAATTAAATTTGATTTAGTGGTTCTAAAAATAAGTGATATATTCTTATGTTAGTTGTTAGGTAGTAGATGTTATGTGGAAGACTTAGAGATAATGTAAGAGCTTAAAAACGATGTGTTAATCAAACCGAATAGCTGCCGATCGGGGCCTCCAGCTTGCCTATTCAAGGGCCTCGGGGTCAAATCTGAGGGTTGGCTGGGGGCTATCGAAGGTGATCAATGGAGATTAACAGTTATGATAAAATCAATTATGGCTCTTTATGGCCAATAATAAGCAATAAATGAAGAACAATAAATGAAAGCAATAATATCGAGAGAATGTGTTAGAGAGCAGAGATAATGTTCTTGTGTATTTAATATGGAGTAATAGATGTTTACAAAATGACTAGGATCCCCTTTATATAAGAGGGGAATCCCAACATAGTACATATGCATTTATTACAAAGATATGGAGATGAGACACATAGTTAATGCCACGATACGGGTTCAGACTAGCCTGCCAGATTTTGTCGGCTCTAGCTTCATGCCTTGGGAACTCCCCACTTTCTTTCCGTAACTGTCGGTCTCATACAATCTCGAGGTTGAGCGTCGATGGCCCTCGAGGGATGAAACTCGACCGTGATTTCGAGCCTTCAAGATATTATAACGATGGAGAATTGGAGTTGGACCCTCCGATTTTACTGTATACAAAAAAGACGGGTTGAAATTTCTACACCATGTGGTGAGCCTGAGCGATCCAATCCACCTATATAATATATTAATTAATATTTTCCTCCCCTAATAGTAATAAATAATGTTAAAGCAAAAATTCAATAATAAAAACCTGTCATTTTCCATCGCACAGACAAACACATACACACGCGCACGCAGAGTGCGAGTCTTTTCGGCTCAAAGAATCGCCATTTTCATGGCGGCAATGATCAACTTCCTTCCACTACTGTTCATCTCCCTCTTCTTCTTCTTAATCTTGAAACTCGTTTACGAACTCATATTGGTCCCTTTAAAAGTTCAAGAGCACTTCAGCAAACAAGGTATAAATGGACCAGCTTACAGCCCAATCTTCAACAACACAGCAAAGATCAGAAGAGTAATGATAGCAGAAGCTGAATCAAAGTCCAGTTCCTTCACCCATCACCACGATGTAGTTTCTCGTGTCATGCCGCACTACTATAACTGGTCAACGGTTTATGGTAAGAATTTCCTTTACTGGTTTGGTCCTAAACCTAGGTTGGCAATTGCTGATCCAAATCTCATCAAGGAGATTTTGGTCAACACCAGTGGTTCGTTTGAGAAAGTGAAATATAACCCTTTGTCGAAGATGTTGTTTGGAGATGGGCTTGTTGGTTTGGAGGGTGAGAAATGGGCTATTCACAGGAGGATAACCAACCAGGCCTTTAACTTGGAGAGAGTCAAGGTACTCAACCTTTAACCATTCTTCGCTTAATCTAGTTCGATCATTTCTTGTCCTTTCTATTTCGGATTTAGCTTATATGCAGTCGTGTAAAAACTTTTTGCGCTATCATTGTATTTTGTAAAAATAGCACGATCTAGCCGGGATCGATCATTCAAAAATAGCTAGCGTTTACCAAGTTAATAAAAAATAGCCACTATTTTACTGCAATAGAGACCGGTCCAGCTGGAGTTAGGTGGACCTGTGTATGAACTTCCAGCATATTATGCTGGGCCGGTATACTTTGTATACTGGACTAGTATATTATACTGGAACTCCAGTATATTAGACTGGAGTTCCAGTATAATATACTGGAGCTCCAGTATATTATGCTGGAGTATTTTTTCGGATTTTGAACACTGTTTTCGTTCAAATTTATCTTTACATGAAAGGTGACTAAATTTCGATTACTTTTGAAACTGGGCTATTTTTGAACGACCACTTGTAAATCTGGTTATTTTTGAATTTCTCCCTTGTATTTTAACTAGAGGTGTAGTCACGATTTGAAACTTATGGGTTGGGGGTTTCTAGTCCTTTTAAGTTATGAGTTCTAAATTAATAATTTGTATGTATTCAATGGATTTTTGAGATAAATACATGGATTGGATCAAAGCGACCGGGTTCAACCGAACCTGTACACGATGGGCTAGCTCTGCCGCTGATTTTAACTTGTTGTAGCCGGTATAATTTTTTTTTTTTCTAATTATGTTTTAGGTGACCTAATAGTTTATAATTTATGTACTATTTTATTTGACAAAATTTGATTAGATATGGAGCATAAGATGTTAGTTTGACTTATACTTACTTACAATGGAAAAAAAATTAAATAATGATTGAGAAATTAGTTTGATTGAGAAAATATAACATCAAATATAATTAAAAATGTCAATAGTTACATGAATTTGAATTTTTACAAGCTATAAAAGTTGCATAAAAATAAATGGTTGTTTTGAATATTTTGGAACATTCTGAAATGGTACAATATCATATAAATTGGAGGGGATGCAGTACATTATATATGTACATTTAAGAAAATAAAAATCAATTTGGCTACATAGTTCGAGCAAAAAGTAGTTGGTTTAGTTTAACTTGATTTAAAGGGCTAGATATGTATTAAAGTTTTGCCTTTTAATCCTCCATGCCTCTCACTTTCTACTAATCTAATTACATCATTGTTACTCCCCAGTCCCCTCCTTCAATTTCTATCTCTTCCCAACCCATCAATCAACATATCTAGCCCGTCTCTGGAAGGGGCCGGGGTTTCTATATTGTGATTGTGGTGCGAAAAATGAAGCGCAGTGCATTGTGTAAGTCTTGTCGCGAAATGATACTCCTGAATGTCCAGGACTTGTTCTAAAGTTTGGCTTAGTAGAACTCTGTCATGCTATGACAATTTTATGTATGCTCTAGCTGATTGACCAATCGCCATGTGTCCCTTTTTACAGGGCTGGATTTCTGAAATGGTTGATAGCACAACAAAGTTCTTGGAGAAATGGGAAGAGGTAAGAAATGCCAGAGACCAGTTTGAGACGGACGTACACAAAGAATTTCACAACCTTTCAGCAGACATCATTTCTAGGACGGCTTTTGGAAGCAGTTTTGAGGAGGGAAAGCGCATTTTTGAATTACAAGACAAACAAGTGAGCCTTGTTTTGGAGGCCATACGAAGTGTCTATATTCCTGGATTCAGGTGCATTTCGTTATCGGATAGTGTATTGCATCTTGCCCTTCCAATTATTTTGTTGAATACCAAACTTCTATGTATCCTTTTCTTTTATGTTACAATCCTCAAGCACTTTTTCCTTGCATGAATCGTACCAGTGAAAAGTTCGGAGCAAACAAATGCAAATGCATCTCATTCTTTACTATTCATTCCTTTTCTCCCTTCTTGCAATTTCAATCCTAAAGAGAACTACCATGTAAAAGCCAGAGGGAAAAACAAGTGACAAGATAAGATATACTTATAGTAGAATAGTCCATTGCATCTTTGAATACCAGTGGAGTGATTGTTTTTTCTATAACCTTTTCAGAAGAGCTGCATTTAAAATGAACTTTAGACGCATGCAGTTGTCTTATGCAAAGCGATGTTTACCACTATATAACTAGGCATTTAGAGATTGCAGCATTTCCAGAAAGAATTATTAGAAAGCTCTAATCGGCACATGAGATCAAACTAAACATTCATGTCTAAGCCAACTCACTGTCTTTGTTGAGTTGAAATGGTGGAGTCCTGTTACCCCCTTCTGCAAAAATATGGCTTCATCATCCTGGAGCAGTTTACTCGCTTCATTAATTTCAATGTAAATCATGTCATTTCTATCTCCTTGACATCTAATGATGAAAGTGGATACAGATTTTTACCCACCAAGAAGAACAGAATGAGGAATAGACTGGAGAAGGAAACTCGAGATGCAATAAGGATGTTGATAAACAATTGCAGCAGAACAGCAAACAACTCAAAAGGCCTGCTTTCTTTGTTGATGTATCCACTTAAGAATCAGGACGACAAAGAGGAGACACTGGATATAGAGGAGGTTATAGACGAATGCAAGACATTCTACTTTGCAGGAAAGGAAACAACTGCTAATCTTCTGACATGGGCTTTTCTCCTGTTGGCGTTGCATCAAGATTGGCAAAGCAAGGCACGGGAAGAAATCGTCCGTGCCTGCAAAAATGGGATCCCTACTGCAGAGAATATAGCTGATATCAAGATCGTAAGTTCAGCTGTTATTGCAGTTCCTATTTTGTGTGGCAGCTCTTGTTCACAGTCTCATAAGCCTTGTATTGTACTTATCATTTGTCTTATGGCCCTCAAGTATGATATAAAAGGACTAACATAAATCTNGGCACGGGAAGAAATCGTCCGTGCCTGCAAAAATGGGATCCCTACTGCAGAGAATATAGCTGATCTCAAGATCGTAAGTTCAGCTGTTACTGCAGTTCCTATTTTGTGTGGCAGCTCTTGTTAACAGTCTCACAAGCCTTGTATTGTACTTATCATTTGTCTTATGGCCCTCAAGTATGATATAAAGGACTAACATAAATCCTTATAGTGATGAACAACCTCATTATGCATTCACGGGACTTTACCATTTGGAAAGATGGTGCATAGCTCCCTGTTTTTTCCTTTGCAATAAGATGATGAGGTACATTTTATGTCTTATTGGCAGGTGAGCATGATATTGAATGAAACACTTCGACTTTATCCACCGGCAGTGATGTTGATGAGGCAAACATCCAAGAAAGTCAAGTTAGGAAACCTTGACATTCCAGCAAATACACAATTCTATTTGGCCATGACTGCTGTCCATCATGACAAGGAGATATGGGGAGATGATGCCCATGAATTCAATCCATTGAGATTTTCTGAGCCACGGAAACATTTAGCTTCATTTTTTCCATTTGGATTAGGCCCCAGAATCTGTGTGGGCCAAAACTTAGCACTTGTTGAAGCTAAAGTCGTCCTGGCTATGATCATTCGGCAATACTCTTTCTGCATCTCCCCATCATATATTCATGCCCCAATACAGGGTATGACATTACAGCCTCAATATGGCGCGCAAATAATCTTTAGCAAGATTTCTTATTGAGTATTTGCTGGAGAAATGCGCAGTCTTGTCTTGAACAAACTCCAGAAATAAATGTTTGCTAAAGAGTAGCTATGCTGACTCTTTTTTTTCTGTTGTGCATGAGAGCACTATAAACTCACAGGACATCATGACAAAAAAGAAAAAGAGTGTATATTTTTCGTTTACTGTGGATGTATATATTTTTCTTATACACCATTGACTCATATAGTCAGTATCTACACTTTGTAAATTAGCAGTACGTTTTTCACGAAATGACAGAGAAATAGGGTGATTGCACTGAAATCATTTCAACTACATTTCTTCTACTGTCCTGCACTCATGCTATGAGTCATTTTTTAAATTGCATGATGGAACAAAAAGGGAAGTAGAACAAACAATCCAAAAAACATGAAAGAAAAATAAGTCTCGAGAATGGAAGTCATGGTAGTTGAAGCATGATCCAGAAGGTGAAGAGGCTCTGCATATTTTCTGGGCAGATAGAATACTTTTACAAAGTTCAGAAAATAATACTCCGAACTTCCAAGTGCACGGGGTAGTAGCTACTAGCTAGTGAATATATAATCATCAGAAAAAAGCAGTATGCTTATATAGTTTAACAATAGTTTTTTGGACAAGCAAATTAATGTTCGGTAGCAGCCAGCTTGGGCGTTTATCTCTCTTTTAGAAGGTACATTTAGACTGTTTATCCGTAAAACGGTATAATTAAATTTGTATCGTGGTTTATAGACACATAAATTAATTTGATCCAAGAATATAAAATAATGAAGAATAGAAATAAATTAATTAAATAAATTTAAAGAAAATACAATTCTGATTGAGAAATGAGCTTCTTTGGAAGAAAGAGTAAGAACAATGTATTGAGCAGAAAAAAAGAATGTTGTTAATAGAATAAGAGTAGGTTTAGCCTTTTTGCGTACAAATTTTTTCGCGTTCTACAACGAATACAAATTCTTCTATTTATAGCTCAATTCAGGGAGACAAGATCTCCAAATTAAGCTATTCTTTAATAAGAATAAAACTCGCCTTGATGACTGCATAACGGTTAGGTATAAATGCAAAGATTCTTTATAACGACTGCTCATTGAATGTTGTCTTTTCCAACCGATATCTTCCTTTCAGTCTTTCGTCCCCGATTCCAGCATCTTTGAAACTCATTCAACACCGATCACATATTCGTACCCCGTGCCAGCTATTTGCTGACTCATATTTTATTTGTCTTCACTACCACAATTTGCTGACTCATGTTCGTACCCCGTGCTAGCACAATATGTGTGTGCTATATTCCTATGCCTTTTGGAAGATCCAACTGGCTATGAGATTATATGCCCTCGTGAGACGTCTGCCGGTAACTAATACCATTTCGGCTTGAATTGGCAAAAGTTGGAAGTTGAAAGTTGAAGGTTTGGAAGGTTGAGAGGTTTTGACCGAGAGTGGACTTTGTTGATACCAGGCTCATATTTTTGTTCTGGGAGTTGGAATAGATCCGTTGTGTTATTATGACTTGTGTACAAAATTTGAGGTCAATCAGACTTGGCTTGATATGATTCAACATTGGTTTTATAAGTTAGAAGTTTATTAGTTTTGTTACACTTGAATTGGGATTTGATTCATGATTTTGATGTTGTTTGGTGTGATTTGAGGTTCGATTAAGTTTGTGTTGTGATTTAGGACTTGTTGGTATGTTAGGTTGACATCCTGGGGGCCTCGGGCGAATTTCGGATGGCTAACGGATCGATATTGGACATAGAGCATTGCTGAAGATATTTGGATTGCTGGTGTAATCACACCTGCGGCGGGCTTGGCCGCAGGTGCAATGTCGTAGGTGCGGCTAGAGGAACGCAGAAGCGAAATTTGGGTGGCTATAGGAGTTTCGCAGGTGTGGAGAAGAATGTCTGCAGATGTAGAGAAGCGTGGCCTGGTTGCACTACAGATGTGGAAGGACTTCCGCAGGAGCGGACGCGCAAAAGCGTGAGGAGAACTGTAGAAACGGGATTATAGCCGCAGAAGCGGCAGGTCGGAGTTTAAGTGGTCTTCGCAGAAGCAGGAATTTTTTCGTATAAGCACGCAGAAGGCCAGGAGACTTGACAGATTGATGACTGATGTGGGCCTGAGAGCTGGTTTGTAAGTGTTATTGTGGATCGGGTTGCACGCCGCAACAGACCTTATTAGCTTATTTATTNGTGCGCTATGGTGTGTGGCATTAATGCCAAGCATCCATACAGTGCTAAGTGATTGTGTGTGTGATGAGTGAGTATTTAAGATAGATAGATTGAATACTCTAAGAGTGTGAGTACCCGAGAATATTACTGTGATACCTTACTTTTGATATGTATATTTGACATGTTAGCATAAAGATGTGCCATTCCTCATGCTAGCTATACTTGACTTGCTCTTATCAGTGTTGGTTATTAACTGTGAACTTGAAAGCATGTTTAAATTTTTGTACCATGAACGAGCTGTATATGGAAGTTTTTCTGAGTTATTCACATTCATTGTCATTATCTTACCTGTGTTGTTATTATATTAGTTCTGACTATATCTTTTTGAGCTCTTCACTACTTTCAGCCCAAGGTTAGTCCTATTACTTATTGAGTACATTGGGCCGGTTGTACTCATACAATATTTTGCACTTCGTGTGCAGATTCAGGTACATCTGGATGCGATGATTGCTAGATTGTTGCTATGATGACCCTAAAGGTCATCTCTTATTTTAGAAGTCAAAGCTGTGTTCTGAGGCCTTAAAAACCTCTTTTTGTCTTACCTCGATTTGCATGCACAGTTCGGGCACGTCTCCGAAAAGCTATTATGTGAAATTTTAGAAAAATAATGAATTTGGTCTTTAAAATTGGTTAAAGTTGACTTTGGTCAACATTCTTGGTAAACGGACCTGGACCCGTGATCGGACAGTCCCGTATGGTCCGTAATAAAATATGAGACTTGTCCGGAATCGAATTTCGAGGTCCCTAGCCCGATAAAAGAATTTTAAAGAAGATTATTTGCAGGAAAATATAAGGGCTTTTTGAAATAAAATGATGCGTATTTTTTATAGTATCGGGCCCGTATTTTAGTTTCTGAGCCCGGTACTTGTTTAAAATAATAATTAAGTTAAATCTGTGGAATTTGGTAAGAATCGAAAAAGATTTGATATAAATCGGGCCCTTGGTTGAGAAAATGGAAATGCTATCCTATGAATTTCATGAGTTTTGGTGTTAAATCCATAGTTGTTAACGTTATTTTGGTGATTTAATCGCACGAGCAAGTCCGTAAGATGTTCTTAGACTTGTGTGCATGTTTGGTTTGGAGCCCCGAGGGCTCGGGTGAGTTTTGGATAAGCTACGGAGTATATTGAGACTTAGAAAAATACCTGGACCTGAAAAGTTGCAGGTCTCTGAAACTGGGGGTTCGTGGACCGCGGTGGAACTATCGCTGCCGCGCAAGGGATACCGCTGCCGCGGTAGGATATCGTGGTCAGCGGTGGGCCAGACAAAACTTCCGCAACTGCGCTCGTTATTTCGCGGTCCGCAGTGAATCTCTGCGGCCACGGTCCTTTTTTTCGCGGTCAGCGATGAGGATCTGAGAGGGATATATATAATCGAGACTTTTCAGCCATTTTTTATTTTTTTCAAAACCCTAAAACATGAGCGACAATTTTTCAAACTCAACTTTTTCACTCTTTAACTTCTTTTTATAAAATTTCATCCTAGAATCTAGGATTTGTGAGCACGTGATTTTTGCCCTATGAGAACTACTTCCAAAAATTCAAAATAAAATAATTTTCCTTTGTGTGCAATTTTGAGAATTCGCGTGGCATTTGTTTTTTTAGATAATTATTTGTATTTTGTCTGTGAATGTTTATTCTATTTTAATTACTAAAAAATCNTGAAATTAGACACTTAGTAGTGGCTGTCAGGGAATATGATGGAAGAAATACATTTCTTAATGATCTAAGTGTTAAAACAGGCTGGAAAAGGGGTCTGTCTTAGGGTATAAAATATAGGGCAGGCCTTAGAATAGGGGGGTTCAAACCTTAAGAGGGCTAAAAAGAGAGACAGAGTTAGGGACGGAATTTTTTTTTTGAGAGAAGGGAGATCAGTCTTTGATCAGTTTTTTTAGAGAGTTAAAAGAGTTCAAAAGGTTCTGAATTTTGAGACCTTAGGAGTTTGAGAGAGGTTCTGCTTTTGGTTCCTCTCTAATTAGTCTTAGAGAGCAGTTTTGAGGATCCAAAAGATCAGTTTTATTGGAGGGCTTTTAGGATCAGTTTTTAGAGGTTAAATTTAAAAGAATCTTTGAGGAGAGTTGAGGCCAGTTTTTGAGAGTTTTAAACAATCAGTTTTTTTAGAGAGTGCTGGGGAGTTTAAGAACAGAAAACCAAAAGAAAGATACTGTTTCATTGCATCCGTAGGTGTAATTCGAATTCTGGACAATGATTCTCATTCCTTTTGATTGCTTAAGTGGTTCAGCGGTCTACTGGTTCAGTTTTGGGTTTAATACAAGCTTGGTTAAGTCTGTTTGTCTTGGTATTTGCTGTTGCTGTTGGTTTACAACCTTTCTGGGTTTTTCTGGAGTATTGATTGAGTCGCTGCTGCTGGTGTATTGCTGTTGTATTGACTGCTACTAGCCTGTTGCTGACCTCCTTCTCTTCTCATTGTATTGCCATTTCCAGGTATCCCTTGAATCCATAGAAGATGAGATATAGAAATATGTAAAGTTGTAATTACATAAAGCTTGATGAATGAATGATCTTTGGCCTTCAGTCTTCAATAACAACTTGTTTGGAATCTAGTAGCATAATATGAAAGTAGTTAGTTTAGTCTGTTTCATCCTAGTACAAGTAGTGTATTCTGGGAATCATGTTGCTTTTTCTTTCTTATCTGAATATTTATGGTATGTAAAGTTAATTGAATACTTGAGATACTGTGTATATGGAATATAACCTATGCCTATTCTCTTCAATAAAATCGACTTAGTGTGGTTCAATTTTAGTATAGTCCAAGTATGGCACCCTGTTCTATAAAGTATTAAAACTGGAATATGATGGAGCCTAAAAGGTTAGGAAGAATGTCTATGTTCGTTCCAGTAATTCCATGTATAATAGATGGTAGAAATGGTTTATACTTCATTGTTTAGTGTCAATAACCCTAGCCTGGATATTATGTAGTCATAGTTCAGAAGTTGCATCTCTTCTAGCTTCGATATTGAGTTATTATGGTTCGCCCACTAATTGCATATTGAAGGAAAGGATTGAGGCATTAGTGTAAATTTGTTTGGTTAAAGTCTGAAAT